ATGACTTTGTCTTTGCTTCTTTAATTGCTGTTGTCTCCGATGACCTTTAGGCCACAAGTGTACTCGTGAGGAGGTTTCACTTGATTGTTGTTCTTGTTCGAGTAGCCGTTGTAGTTCCTGGAGTTCATGGAGTTGCCTTTGTTGAAATAGCTCGTCTTGTTGTGAAAGTTCGTCAGATGGGCCTCTTTCAGGAACATCAGTCTGCTTTTCTTTAGATGGTGATGTGATCATTAGATTGTCGGTTGTCGATACTGTACTGCTGGGCTGGTCTTGCGATGAAATCAGCGTGACAGGCTGGTGAGAAAGTTCCCAAGATGGTTGTGAGTCGTCCTTGATTGTAAATGTTTCTGTCAGTTCCCAATGCGCTGGCGTTGGTGGATTTGAAATTCCTGCAGTGCTTTGACTCACATGTGTGTCATCACTTGACGATGAGAGCACAACAGACATGGCTTCAGGTGGTTCTGATGGCATATGTTTTTCTTTTTGCAGCGTGATTGGGCTGAGAATGTCTGTCGAACGACCCTGGTCGGGAATGTCAGGGTGTGGGCTGGTATTGCGAGGATTCACCAGCTCGTCACACGTAAATTCCGTCGCACCTTCGGAACCGTTTGGGCCTTGTGTGTGACACGAAGCATCAAGAGATTTGGGTGGTTCAGTAAAATGTGAAGTGTTGTGGTGCAGTAAACACGTTGAAAATGCCGATTTTATTGCTCTTGGGAAAGCCGGCTTTAGGTTTTGTCTTTTGGCAAAATAGTCTAGATTCCTTTCGGTATACAGAGGCTTTACCTTGTCTGTTGCGACGTGCAAGTCACCAGTCGGCGTTCTAATGCGTGACGTTTTTTCGGAGGAGTCATATGATGGTACAATGGTGGTATATTTTCTCTGTGGTCTCGTTTGGAAAATAGGCTTACTGCGGGAACACTTCGCGTAACTGTGATGGGCGAGTTGAAAAGCCTTCCGCTGATGAAGTATAAACATGTCTTCGTCGTATTCTTTGAAACGGGTAATCATCTCTTCCCTGATCTTTTGCCATGATTCGTCGTTTTCGAATATGTGTGTCAGGTAAAACTTGAATGCCTCACCGGAGATGTAGTCAGTGAAGTTGATGATCATCTCCCGTTCCGACCAGGATGCAGCGGCGGCGTGGACCTCGAATAGGTTGAACCAGTCCTGTACGGGTCCGTCGTCCGCTGATCCGGTGTACTTGGGGATGTCGAGCTCAGTCGATGGTTCTGTCATGGTGCCGGTAACTGAATGCGTCTGAGATCACCTCTTCTGTGGTCGATATTCAGTTGAGGCGTACTGCAGGTGGCTTCGTGAATGATGTGAGGTTGATGAGTGGTGGCCAGGTCTTCATCCTGTCGACTTGTGTGACGCTATGATGAATGGGAGACGTGGCGTGGCTCATACCCCATGTTTATTCCATTCTGTACTTCTTCCTCCTCTGCTTCTGCCAACTATCGCTTCATACGTCACATATATATATATATATATATATATATATATATATATATATATATATATATATATATATATATATATATATATATATATATATATATATATATATATAAATAGGCAGGCATGGTGGTTGAGTGGCCGTAGCGTTGCATATAGTCCAGTAGATCCTCCGTGAGCGGTCACAACGTAGTTTATTTCGACGTTTCGGCCTAGAGTCTGGCCTTCATCAGGATTAAAGATACAGTTTGTTGGTGCTCAGCTTTATGCAATCTCAAATCAGAGGGCAAGGAAAGAGAAAAAAAAGAAAAAAAAGAAAAAAAGAAAAAGGAAAAAAAGAAAAAAGAGAACAAGAGAAAAATAATATACGGTGGACGCCCCTCAGGTGCCCCCCTTCCACTCTTCCTTCAACTTCCCCCTTCATCTCTCTCCCCCATCTCCCCTTCACCTTTCTGATGTCAGCGGTCTGTGTATGTTTCCGTTCACTAACGCATTCCTCCCGATCAGACGGGCCCTCCTGCCACTGGCGGTTCGGTGTGGGGCAAAGAAGAGCTTTTCAGGAAGTCCTATAAGCCTTTAACTACTCGGGGTCCCGTAAACAATTCGTCGTAGAAGGAGGGGTGCCGCGTATTGTGGCAGAGGCTGGTAAGCAGGCATTTTGGGAAGTTCTAAGCCTTTAACTACTCCGCTCCCTGTCAACATTTCGTCGTAAAAATAGCCTGCCTACACAAGACCGGCCACAGGCGCACCTCCAGTCGAGCAGGTCTCACGGAATTTCCCTAAACATGCACCAACTACAGCCATCATCGGAAACTCGCAAACAAGGTATCTACATCGGCATTTCAACCCACATGAGAAGACGACACCTGTAATCATTTCCATCCGCGGAGCCTCTACATTCGACATCGAGAAAGAGCTTGCTGGCATACCACGATCTGTGACCACGCTCGTTTTTCACGTCGGTACGAGCGAGCTGGCGTCGTACGGACTAGAGGAATCGCTACGCCGCCTTCGCCGCCTAGTGAACAACACGCTTCGGACACGCCAGGAACTCGAAAGGCTCGTTGTTTCATGCGTGCTTCCCCGGTACCTCAACCTACACCTGGAACGATCGAACGAACAATTCGTGCACCGCTTCAACCGGGACGCTCGTCAATTCAACGAGACAGTCAAGGCCTACTGCCGAAGACCCAGCAAGATGTCATACATTGACTACCAATTCGAGCAGTTGCCACCAAGACGCTTTCTTGCTGCGGATGGGCTTCATCCGAGTTTTATGGGTGTGGCTTTGATTGCCGAAACCCTCAAGAAAGCACTCGGCTGTGGAGATTTCGAAGCTACCACGGGGTGGTCGACTCAACCAGCAGCTCCCGTGAATATACGTTCAACACAACAAGACACCCACGAGAAGACTTCTGCATATCAACATACACCAGGAGCCCCACACCCACCCAAGACCACAGATGAGTTCCCGACGATCAGCGAAACTGTGACTCCCGCGAGCCACAAGCACCCCCTCACCATCATCAACAGCGCACCACTACTAGGGGGGAAGTCTGCAGAACAGCCAACACGCGTCCCTCCATTGCGGATGTCGAGACCAAAAGCACTACACGACAGCACCACTACACCACTCCTCAAAGGGAAGCCTGCCGAACTACGAAACCGCGTCCCCCTATTGCGGACCCCGGAACTGCCAAGGAACACGTTCGCCGGGAGCCCAACGCCGAAATCCTCCCCACAACGACGAAGGCCTGCCGGACATAACTACAACCTGCGCACCTCATCAGTGCCATCCCCGCACCCAAAAGAAGATTGACTTCTGAAATGTAAGTCCAGCTCATCGCTTCCGAGTTGCAGTGCCACTTTCCTTAAAGTACGAAAACTTGCTGACAAACGAATTAGACATGAAATGCATAAATCAACATTGCAAGTGCACCTTCGTGCTAGAATAGCCCCCAAGGGTATGACACTCTCCCTCACACCAGCCGCTACAAATCTAGATGAACACGACCAAATAACATGGAAAAACGTCCTCCTTGAGGCATCTCTTAAATTAACAGAAATCGCTCTTAATCACAGTGATAAGCAGGTAAAGAAACTGGTCGCTATGACCAACACCATTCTCCGCCACAACACTTTATCGAACGAAGAAATCACGCGATTAACAGAATTTGAGCAGAATAAATACCAAGCCATCATGACCACAAAAATTCATAAACTCAAAAGAGACCATGTGCCCAAACCCGCGTTCCCTGATAAAGTTCCTTATCATTACAACACCACCACCCAGGAAATCACTAATGGTACAAACGAGCCCCCATCTAGGAACACACCCTGTGACACTGTGGTTGTAAACTTATCGGACACGAGCTTGTCACCTGACGAAGAAAAACTGCTATCTAAGGAACTAAGCTTCTGCCCGACCACAAAATTTTTCGATCAATTCCACTTGCTCCGAGACCTCGACAACTTCGCTCGAAGCTTAAGGTTGCGCGAATATTTCTTGGACAGGCCTTCTAACCACGAAAAAATTCACCGTCGTAAATCAAATGATTGGACACCGAACAGTAATCGAGACAAGTGCTTGGACCTTTATATCACCGCAGTACAGAAAGATGTAGTACACGAATACCACAGACAGAAAGGAAACCGAGAAAACTTGACCAAATCTGAAAAAATAAGTATGAAAAATTTGGCATCTAGGACAGACATAACAATAAAACCCGCTGACAAAGGAGGAGCAATTGTAGTCCTTAATACAACCAACTACTTACAAGAAGCATACCGCCAACTAGACGACTCAAGATTTTACGAACGCCTCCCAGGTGATCCGACAGACGAATACAAACGTATCGTATCAACAGAACTAAAGAAACTGTTGGATGCAGAAAAGATAACTGTAACATAATAGCCACCGCAACACGTGCTGATATGTGATGTGTGATATGTGATATGCATCGTGTTACGTCAGCACCAGGTTGCTATAAAAGATGAGTGCGTAGGAAATAAAGGCCAGTGTTTTTCCACGGTATCAAGTGTGCTGTTCTTACGTCAGCTGCTCTCCGTGAGTTGGCTATGACAATGGCGACGAAGATGGGATTGTGATCTGCTGGTGCCGCCTGGAACTTCCCTGTAAGGCTGTGTTCTCTACCGTGTGTAGATTGCCTGGTGTCGGCAAGCTTGAGCCGTTCGACGTGGGAACAACCAGCTGGGATGAGTATCAAGAGCGGGTAGAACAATTTTTCATAGCCAACGACGTCGAAGATGAAAAAAAAAAGCGAGCAGTACTTCTTTCCTCATTGGGACTGGCCACGTATTCATTACTGCGGAACCTGCTGTCACCGTCGAAGCCGTCAGAAACAAGCCTGTCCACGATCCTTGACGTACTGAAGAAGCATTTTTCGCCGAGACCATCGGAAGTGGTTGCAACGTTCAAGTTTAATTCAAGAATACGTCATTCTGGTGAAACGGCTGGGGATTTCTTCGCTAGCCTGAACAAACTTGCTGACGATTGTGCTTTCGGCTCGTTTCGAGACATAATGCTTCGTGACCGCATCGTGGCAGGCATCAACGACGAGACAATGCAGCGACGACTGTTGGAGTCGCCAGATTTGACCCTTGATACCGCAAAGAAGACAGTTATCGCGATGGAAGCGGCGAACAAAGATTCTCGCGCGCTGTCAACAGCCATGCCAATGACTGTTGCGCCGATGAATGCCGTGTCACGTGATACAGGAAAGCAGAAGCATAAACCAGTTTCATGTTTCCGCTGCGGAGGCGAGCATCTGGCGACGCAGTGTCGACATGCAAGTAGCGTCTGTCACAAGTGTCGAAGCAAGGGGCACCTGGCGCGAGTATGCAAGGGTAAGGCAGTTACAGTTACGAGCGCAGGTGGTTCAGCATTTTTGTCCCGGAAGCATCAGTCAATCCACACCGTAGACGACGAAGAATGCCGTTCTGAGACACCGGCACCGCAAGTCTACGAAATGTGGCAAGTGCGCGCACCGGATCACGACGGCAGCCCGTACCGGGTTGAGGTGTCCGTGAATGGAACTTCACTCATTACGGAAATTGACACGGGAGCAAGTGTGTCTGTCGTGTCGGAAGAGACCTTTCGCCGCATATTTCCGTCTTGTCGTCTGGAACCGTCAAGCGTCATGCTGAAAGGTTACACCGGTGAGCTGTCCGCGGTGCAAGGCAGCCTGCCTGCGACTGTACGACTGGGAAACCATGAGTGCCGGGACGTGTTGTACGTCGTCCCAGGACGCTGCCCGTCCCTTATGGGGCGTGGCTGGATAAAAGGCCTCGGAATCGAGCTGCGCAGTGTGATGGACGTTAAGGCTATCACGTCGGTTGAGGGACTCGTCACTGAGTATGCGAGTGTTTTCGACGACGCCTTGGGAACATTCAAGGGAGTGTCCGCGAAAATAACCATCGAAGACAACGCGAAGCCGCGGTTCTTCAAGGCTCGCCCTGTTCCGTTCGCAATGATCGACCGCGTCAACGAGGAACTGATGCGCATGGAACGTGTTGGAGTGCTGCGTCCAGTTAAGACTTCGGAATGGGCTGCGCCTATCGTGCCTATCTTGAAGCGGAGTGGCCAGATTCGGATATGTGGCGACTTCAAGGTCACTGTTAATCCCGTGACAGTGCCTGAAAAATACCCGATACCACGCGTTGAAGACCTGTTTTGCCGTCTTAGCGGTGGCGAGAAGTTCAGCAAATCGGACTTGAAGGATGCGTATTTGCAAGTTGAACTGGACGAGGCATCCCGCAAGCTGGTGACAATCAACACACCAAAAGTACTGTACCAATACACGCGTTTGCCTTTCGGCGTCACATCTGCTCCTTCAATTTTCCAGCGGGAGATGGAAAACCTGCTACAAGGGCTCGGACACGCTGTGGTGTACTTCGACGATGTTCTTGTGACTGGACGCGACGACCAGGACCATCTAACAAACCTGGGCCTAGTCCTAAGCCGACTGAAGCAAGCTGGGCTAAAATTGAAGCTTGACAAGTGTACCTTCCTGGAACGACAAGTTGAATACCTGGGTCAAGCTGTCACGGCTGCGGGGTTTCAACCCAACCCTGAAAAGGTAAAGGCTGTGCTGAAGGCGCCTAGACCCGAAGATGTCAAGACATTACGGAGTTATCTAGGTCTAGTCAACTTCTACCGCAAGTTTCTGCCAGAGCTGTCTAGTGTGTTGCATCCCTTGAACGAGCTGCTTGTGGCCAAGGTGTCGTGGGACTGGCGTGAGGATCATGAACGTGCTTTCCAAAGGAGCAAGGAGCTACTTGTTTCAGCAGCAGTGCTGGCGCATTATGACCCCAAGAAACCCGTGGTTCTCGTATGCGATGCGTCACCGTACGGCGTTGGCGCCGTCCTGGCCCATAGAGAAGACTCGGGGGCTGAACGACCAATCGCATTTGCATCACGAAGTCTCGCGCCAGCCGAGCGAAATTACGGTCACATCGACAAGGAGGCTCTTGCGCTCATGTTTGGCGTAACCAAGTTCCGACAATACCTCTGGGGACACGAGTTCGAGGCTATTACGGACCATAAACCATTACTGGGCTTGCTTTCTCCCGACAAGCGCGTGCCTGAGATGTGCTCACCGCGTATCATGCGTTGGGCTCTGATGCTTGGTGCGTATAACTACAAGCTCATGTACCAGCCGGGAGCAAGCATTGCCAACGCGGATGGTTTGAGTCGCCTACCACTACCAGGGTACGCTCAACCTGTAGAAAGGCCAGCGGAAGTTTTCATGCTGGAGGCTGCTTATCCTCGGGTGCTACGGTCGACTGTAGTCGCGGAAGCTACTTCCATGGACCCAACCTTAGCGAAGCTACGAGGGGCCTTATGGTCTGGAGCTGAGCTACGTGACCCCGAGTTCAGGTTCTGCGCAGATCGAAAACTTCAGATGAGCGTGCAAGAAGACTGTATACTTCTCGGATCGCGAATGGTCATCCCAAGTGCATTACAGCAAGAAGTGTTGCGACTCCTTCATGAGGGGCACCCTGGAATGACCAAGATGAAGGCTATCGCCAGGAGTCACGTCTGGTGGTCTTCGTTGGACGAGGACATTACCGCTGCAGTTCGCCAGTGTCAGATCAAGAACACCAGAGGGTTGCGTGGCCGGTAGCGATGACGCCATGGCCGTTTCCGGACAGACCATGGTCTCGCCTTCATATTGACTTTGCCGGACCTTTGAAGAACCGCTACTTGCTGATCGTTACCGATGCATTTTCAAAGTGGATAGAGGCCGTTCCTATATCCACACCATCGGCAGAGGCAACTATCCCATGCCTGAGGGTTATGTTTGCTACTCACGGATTGCCAGACGTAGTGGTGTCCGACAACGGACCAGCGTTCGTGAGCGAGGAATTCAAACTGTTCCTGCATCGAAATGGCATCAAACAAGTATTGACACCCCCATACCATCCAGCGTCAAACGGGGCTGCAGAACGGGCAGTTCAGTGCATCAAGTCAAAGCTAAAGAAATAGGCTGGAGGGAATTTTTCATGCCAACTTGCCCGTATTCTTTTCCATTACAGGATTACTCCCCACGAAACTACCGGGTGCTCACCAGCGGAGCTGATCATGGGCCGTAAGTTAAAAACTGCTCTAACGTTGTTGCATCCAGACATGAAAGCTAAGGTCTTGCTGAAGCAGCTCAAGCAGAAGATTGTCCATGATGGTGGAGCTCGAATCACACCACCCGCAAGACCCAGAGACTTCATCTACGCACGGAATTTCCGTTCGAGGCCAACCTGGATGCCCGCAAGAGTGACTGACAGAGCAACCGATAACATCGCTGATGTCGTTTTGTCAGACGGTAGGTGTTGGCGGCGCCATCAAGAACACCTGCGGCCGAACTTCGCCCCAGTTAGTGCGCCTCCTGGACTGCCGCCTGAGCGACAGACTTCTTCACCGACGCCAGTATTACCGCCTGTGCAACAAGCTACGTCAACCACGGAGTGCGTGTCGGAACGAGCGGGTGTGCAACCGGCTGAGAAACTAGTTCCGCTACCCAGGAAGTGTGAGTCGGAGCAATCGAGTCCAGTTGCTGAGCCGTGTCCTGAATCATGCAGTGAAAGTGGGACCGCAACACGCGATCTGGTTGTGCCTACTAGCCATGACAGTACGCCAATGCTGCGAAGGAGCACGAGGACAAAAAAAAAACAGTTGTGCGTTTCTGACCACGAAGGCCGCTAAACTATCGTTGTTTTGTTTGTTGGTGGGGAGGAGTGTAACATAATAGCCACCGCAACACGTGCTGATATGTGATGTGTGATATGTGATATGCATCGTGTTACGTCAGCACCAGGTTGCTATAAAAGATGAGTGCGTAGGAAATAAAGGCCAGTGTTTTTCCACGGTATCAAGTGTGCTGTTCTTACGTCAGCTGCTCTCCGCGAGTTGGCTATGACAATAACCAATACTGACCACAAACTGATGCAAGCAGCATACCCTCGTCCAGGTCGCTTCTACATCCTCCCAAAAATTCATAAACCCGGTAACCCAGGTCGACAAATCATATCAGGCATCGGTACAATAACTGAACCCATATCACGGTACGTGGACAAACTAATAAGCCACATTCGATGCACCCTCGCGTCGTACATAAAAGACACCACACATTTTCTTTGAGACATTGCGGGTATCTGTGTGCCGAAAAACTCGTACTTGGTTACTCTTGATGTCTCTTCATTATATACAAATATTCCTCACGATGACGGCATACCTGCATTACAAAACATGTACACAAACCATAGACAATCTAACACCCCAGATTTCTCTGCCATTGCAACTTTAACGAGGATGGTCCTCGAATTAAATTCATTCGAGTTTAACCAAGAGTATTTTCGACAAATCAGCGGGACCGCTATGGGCACCAAAATGGCACCTAATTATGCCAACATATTTATGGGAAAGCTAGAATCTGAATTTCTTGCACAAAGTTCCTTGAAACCAATGTTATACAGAAGATACATAGACGACATCTTTCTTATTTGGACCCACAGCGAAGACGAACTTCTCAGCTTTATAGACACTTACAATGCTGTACATCCGAACATACACTTCACACAGACGTACTCGCAAGTTACCGTAAATTTTCTTGATGTTACCATAACGATAGAAGAAGAGAAGCTCTCTACAACTTTATATCGCAAACCAACGGATCGACAATACCTCCATTACCAAAGCGATCACCCACGCCACTGTAAAAATGGTATTTCATACAGCCAGGCTCACCGGTTTAAGCGAATCTGCTCTAGAGACGCTGACTTTGACACGAGCTCACAGAGGCTAAAACTTATGCTCGAGAAACAAAAATACCCCCCACATGTAATTAATGACGCTGTTCAAAAAGCGAGAAAACTAAAGCGTGAAGACTTACTTATGAAGCGACCACCACGAGAAGACCCACAACGAACAAACCTCTGCTTGACTTACAGCACAAACTTCCCCAATGTAAACAAAATCCTTAAACGACATTACAACATTCTGGAACAAAGTGAACGTCTAAAACGCGCATTCCCATCCGCTCCAGGCGTCGTTTACCGATGACCACGTAACCTCAAAGACACCCTTGTCCACTCCCAAATTAACACATCACCCCCCAATAATTCATGCCGCCCTTGCTTAAAGCCACGATGTCTTGTATGTAAGGCGATGCGAGAAACAGACAAAGCAACCAGCGCGCAATCCAAGTTTTCGATTAACATACGAGGAAATTTAACCCAACATGCGATTCCTCTAATGTGGTGTACCTACTCGAATGCACCATATGTGGTATGCAGTACATCGGACAAACAGAAACACCATTTAGGATTCGCTTCAATAATCACAGAGCCCATGCGAAATCAGCCCCAAGTCTACCTCCATCAAAACATCTCAAACTTCCCGACCATGCATTCGACAAACTATCAGTAACGCCCTTAGAGATGGGATTTAAATCAAATCGAGAACGTGAACAACGAGAGTCATACCTTATCCACCGATTTAACACCCTCGATAGAGGAATAAATGAGAATCCTGGTACACTTGCAGCAATTAAAGCATTAGAAAACAATAACGGCAACAATGAAAATAGTAACTGAGTTCACGGCACTGCAGCTGCGAAAGGCACTGGACAACCCAAAACAATTCCAAGTGTAACTACTCTTCCTAAGTGCAGCTGTCGTCTGTTTTCTGTTTTATTTTACTACCCAATCAATTGTGCCATGCACGACATGCCCAACAGCAACCCTGTGCACAGCCGGGAGGCCCCCACTACACGCGTAATTTAGAAGCGTGCAAGGAATTCGCATTGCACCCGCTTGCACAGCCTACCGCAACACGGGGCACCCCTATTTTTACGACGAAATGTTGACAGGGAGCGGAGTAGTTAAAGGCTTAGAACTTCCCAAAATGCCTGCTTACCAGCCTCTGCCACAACACGCGGCACCCCTCCTTCTACGACAAATTGTTTACGGGACACCGAGTAGTTAAAGGCTTAGGACTTGCTGAAAAGCTCTTTTTTGCCCCACACCGAACCGCCAGTGCCAGGAGGGCCCGTCTGATCGGGAGGAATGCGTTAGTGAACGGAAACATACACAGACCGCTGACATCGGAAAGGTGAAGGAGAAATGGGGGAGAGAGATGAAGGGGGAAGTGGAAGGAAGAGTGGAAGGGGGGGCACCCGAGGGGCGTCCACCGTATATTATTTTTCTCTTCTTCTCTTTTTTCTTTTTTTTCCTTTCCTTTTTCTTTTTTTCTTTTTTTTTTCTTTTTTTCCTCTTTCCTTGCCCTCTGATTTGAGATTGTATAAAGCTGAGCACCAACAAACTGTATCTTTAATCCTGATGAAGGCCAGACTCTAGGCCGAAACGTCGAAATAAACCACGTTGTGACCGCTCACGGAGGATCTACTGAACTATATATATATATATATATATATATATATATATATATATATATATATATATATATATATATATATATATATATATATATATAGTGGGAGTAATAATTCAATGGGCCAGTTAGTCTTCGTGAAGGTATGGGATATGGCACAACGGGAGCGTTGTCAACAAGGATAAATATATTTATTTCCCAACAGTTTCGGGAGGGGACCTCCCTTCATCAGGGGATGAGTTATACTGACATGAGCTTCCAAACTTCCTTGCTGCCGCGTCCCTCTCGCCTTGAAAGACGTTTGCGAGAGTGAGAGGGAACTGGAAAAAGGAAAAAAAAGGAAAAAAACAAAAAAGGGAAGAAAAAAGACCAAAAAAGAAGGAAAAGAAAGAAAGTAAAAAAGAGGAAGAACCACTGTCAACACTGAGAACGAAGCCAACTGTCCGTCTACATCCACCTACGGTTCATATCACGTGCTGTTCAGTTCTTGGCGTGTGTCGGGCCAACCAAGATTGTCGCCGCGGTGCCGGGACGGTCCGGGACGGCGTGCCTAAAGAAAGGGGTTTCCCCGTAATTGGTCGTTCGGCGGGCGGCGGGCGGTGTGTGTAAAGGAAAGGTTTCTCGTTAATGGGTCGGTCGGCTATTTACCTTTAATCTTCGTCCGTTTCCCTTCAATGGTCATGAAGTGGTAGGCGAACGTAAACACATTGTATGTGCATGTGGAAAAAAAAAGACAGAAAGGACAGTGTACACGTACGAGTCAGTCAGAAAAAAGCATGGTATATATATATATATATATATATATATATATATATATATATATATATATATATATATATATTTAGGTTGCTTGGCAATTCCTATTCTTTCACATGTGTTTTTTAATGGTGCTCCTTCAACGTTTATCGTATGAGCTGGACCAAGTCGAATATCGCTCATTTTCAGTCCAAGTGCGTCTGTTTTAGAAACATTTGGCGAGTCTATGAGTCCGAGTAAGTCCGCTGGAGGAACGTTTTGATCAGTCTGAGTATGAGTGGGTATATTTGAGGAAAATATTAGTGGATCCGGCTGGCAAAAACATCGGTGAATCTGAGTGAGTTTAAATAGAGAGAAATTTCGTTAGTCTCAGTCCGAGTGAGTCCAAAGCAAAATATTTTTATATATGGTTATTGAGTTAGTCTAACCGAGTTCTATTTATTTTGCCAACCTATGCCGTACGTGGGATCTTTCCGTATTTCGCAGAGTGTAGTCTGAGTGTTGTTTGCGAAATTTACTATAACCTTGCTCGTTTGAATGGCGAATTCGGTTTTCATGTTAAGCGAAATTGTTTGTGCCAGGTGTTAAAATCTGTACAATATTGCTCCTATTTTTCTGTCATACAAGCATCCAGAAATCTTGCCGAAATGTTCTGTTTGCATTTTTTCCAAGTAGCGGCGCAAGGGGTGGGCACGGGGGAGCTGGAGCTACCCCCCCCCCTCAATTTTCACTCGCCCCCCACTGCCCCCCCCCCCCCCCCAGAGACAACATAGTCACAACACAATGGCTAAGTTCCCTGCCTTCATTCACCCTTAAGGAACTCACTTATCATGAGTGCCCCACCAGTAAAATAATCCTGACGCTGCCCCTGATTTATTTCTTTGTGTTGTTGCATAAATACCCCAGTAAGAAAATGCTTGCTCTGGGGAGAGTATATTATGCCTATATTTTTAGGAGACAAAAGTTGTTTTTTTTTATGAGAAAAAAATACGGGCCTAATAAAATCGTAATTTGGGTCCACATTGAGACGAAATTTACACCACATGGGGCTCCAAGTGAAAATTAACTTTATACCTCAATCTAGAGCAAACAAACAGATTTATGTGTCAAGTGTTGTCACTGAGCTATTCCACGCCATCTCTTTAAACCTTGGCGCTCGACCATTAGAGATTAGCTTTAAAAAATTGAGGATCATCTATTTATAGAGCAAGGGATTTTCCCCTGAAATGTTTCTTGACATACATTTTTCAGCACGGTAAGACGCATGCGAATTGTTTTTGGAAAGCTTGAAGCTTGACTCGTAAAATGTATTGCCAAAATATTTGTTGTACATTCTCAATATTTTCAGTAACTCACTCCAATATTAAAATAAAGAAAAGTTTGTCCAATTGAACACGGGTGTCCTTTTAACTTGAAATAATTTTTACCTTTCATGGGTGTTTATTGCTGCCTTAAGGAAGAGAAATATGGCCCATATTGGAGATTTTTTCCATAGACAGATAATAGTGACATGAAATAGATTGTACTAACGAATTGGCAAGTAGTTTTCCTGTAGGCGAAAAATAATTTTAAACGTACGTAATGCAAAATAGTGTGGCCAACTGGCGTCAAATTTTGCTAAAAAAAGCTTTTTTTTTTTGCTCATAAGTGGTCGTAAGTTTAACATTGACGTGTTCCAGGTAAAATATACTGAACAGTCGATTTAGTAGTGATTTTCATTGCGTACTGACTGAAATTTTTTGTTTACTTTTTGTTTTATGTGAGAAAATTATTCGCTAGTTATCTTCGGCTTATCTAAGTTATCTGTGTGCTTGCACGTGTTCATACCTTGTAACAATGGATCCCAGCATAAAATACAAGCTGTGTGGAAGCGAGGAGCATTTATAGAACATATTAAGCTTTGTTCAGACTAATTGAAGTGATTTATTAGGGAGCATTAGCTTGGGTCCCTATCAAAATGTCGAAAATCAAGAAGCCGATTTATTAAAAGGTCGAATGTCAAAAAGCTGAAAAATTTAAATGCCATAGAATCGAAAAACTTAAAACAACGAATGCTGGAAAATCAAAATGATGAAAAGACGTATCGCCGAAAATCCCTTGAACCATGCACGCGAATACCCCCGATTCGGAGGGAAATGGACGAAGATGTGGCGGGGTGTGTTACCAAAAAGTAAAACCAATACTTTGTTGCAGTTGTGGTTATGTTGTTGACAAGAAGGTGTATTCTAGGCACTATTGGAGGTGCGAGAAGTGAAGAGACTGCAACGCCAGAGTGACTACCGACCTTCCTGTAGAAGGTACTCGCATGACAATCTCGATGAAAGTGATCTACAACAGCCATGCAATTTCGGTTTATTGCTACCATGAAGAGGAAGCAAGCCAGACTTGAAGGCATCGTCAAGGGAGCGACAACCCCACTGCTTACAGAGCAAACTGTTTGCGATAAGCAATAAATCACTCTGATGTGCGATTGGAGGTGGAAAAATTTATAGTTTGCTATTTTTATGAAGGCTTGAGATAAATGTAAAGGGACAACTGGAAATGAGGGTAAACGAGTGTGCTGGCGTAACCTCTAATTTAGCTAGATACTTCATCTTCCAGTATAGCTAGGTGATGCAGACATTTTGATATTTCGGTGTTGGGATAGTTAGGTGTTTTGATTTTTTTTTTTGACATTTTACACTTTCGGTATCTTGTATAATCGGCTTTCTGATTTTTCGGTGTTCTAAATTTCGGCATTCCAAAAGTTCGTCATTTTAATTTTCGGCATTTCGAGTGCCACATTATTATAGCTTTAGTCAACAATAAATGTGAACCCTACCCAGGTGCATTTAAACCAAGTGCAGTTCTCCGCTTACCGGAAAGTGATACCAACCTGTGTGACAAATGCAAAAAATCCATAAAATTAAAAAAAATGTTGCATGACAGAGAAGTCACAGTTATGAACTAACTGAATAGTATTTGAGGAACCAGTAATCATGTGTTGGTTTATAATTGCAACTTATCCACCGCGAAGCATACCTTTTTTTTATTTTCGCGGATTCTTTGCATGATCGTTGTGCTGTACCAATTTATAAATCTTCGGGTCTAATTAACGAGGAGCTTGACACGTCGGTATCCTTTCAGAGTGTCACAAGATGTCCACGTCGTGCACTCTAAAGGTATTCGAATTCCTCGTTGACTAAAGCTAATACTTGCACGGAAATAATTTGAATAAGTACTTAGAGAGCTGGATATGCTGCCTAGATGTTTCTTGCATCTGCTGAGCTTGCACTTAATACTAGGACGCATTGCTTAAGGTATAAACCAACCACCTTCATTTAAACACATGCGAGGACTGGGATCAGTAGAACGCCAATTCAAAATTATTTAACTCACTAAAAACAAAAAAAAGCTTTTTTTAAAAAAACTTACAGTCGGTACACAGGGCAGGCTGCTAGCAAATGCGCTGAGTATATTTCTGTCTGGATACATCAATGTTAAATTTAGAACCTAATGCAGCGCGTCATTGGCTCAACATCTTTCTGCAGAACACCACAGTCTAGATGGTGACGGTCTACGATGTATCCGTGACGTCACGCCAGCCGAAGCCGCCGTTATCACCACTGCTTCTTCTCCTTCCCTTCCCCTTAACCCCTCTCGCACAACGCTACATTAACCCGCGCTATCGCAATAAAGCTTTCGTCTTGGCCCAGCCACGGCCCTGGCGTGTTCGTTTCAGTGGCGACGAGGATGGGATAAAAGCGGTGCGGCAACTCCGTCCGTCATGACCGCCGCACCCACGGGAGGATACGCCAGCCCGCCGCAGTTCGACGAGGCGAGCGACAAGTGGCCCGCGTACCAGGTTCGGCTGGAAGCCTTCTTTGAGGGAAATGGCATCACGGAAGACAACAAGAAGCGGGCCCTGCTGGTGACTGCACTGTCCACCCACACCGTCGACGTACTGAGCGGACGTTGTGCTCCGGATAAGGTGAATGAACTTTCGTACCCACAAGTGATAGCCTTGCTTAAGCAGCACTTCTCGCCGCAACCGAACGAGATAGCACAGTCTTATAAGTTCTTCACCCGCAATCAGCTGCCCGGCGAACCGGTCAAGGATTTTGTCGTGGCGATTCGACAGATAGCGGACACCTGCAATTTTGGTGCTTCGTTGGACAGAATGCTACGAGATCGCATCGTGTGTGGTCTGCACAACGTCGGAGTGCGTCGGCAGCTACTCGCGAAACCACAGCTGACGAGGAGCGAAGCGGAAGAAATTGCGATATCTACCGAAATGGCCGAGGCCAACGCGCAAGAGATAGTAAGCCCCACCGCTGAGGCAAGTGTGCATGCGCTGGGAGGCCAGTCCTATCGCCCACGAAGCCGGCCACAGATTGTTGGGTGCTACCGCTGCGGAGCAAAAGGGCACGGACCCGAGGATTGCCGCTTCCGCTCGGCGTCATGCTTCAAGTGTAAACAACGAGGTCATATCGCTCGAGCCTGTTGCCGCCGTGAGAGTGGGTTCGGGGTGGTACCACCAGAACGCCAAGTACACGCCTTGTCGCGGGAGGAAGACACTGGCACGGACGGTATGTTCGCGCTGGAGGCAGCGGACAGTCACATCGGCCACGTCGGCATTACGCAACCCATCGTGCGCACCTTGGATTGTGGTGGGGTTCCAGTGAACATGCAGGTCGACACAGGCTCGCCGGTTTCGGTCATCACGTTGTCGCGAGAGCAAGGTTTCCAGCTCCAGTATCTCCTCAGGAAATTTGTGCAAAACCAACTCCTCTGCTTCTTTTTTAAGTCTTTCTTTGTACTCTTCTAGCTTTGGGTTTGTTTCTCTGGCCATTACAGAGCTTTGGCTTTTGACTTTAATGGAATGTGGGATAAATCGTGTTTTCCAGCCTGGGACAGGCGCCTACACGCTGCATTTACGGCTTACCAACGGAGCAGTCAAGGCCGCCCCGTTCGGGATTAGAAGGGGAAAGCTTACTAGGAAAAGCGTCTAGCGAGAGGCAGGTCCGGCGCCACCGTCTGAGTCTAAGCCATTGTTAACAGGCACGCGTGTCATTGAGAATGACATGGGGACGCGACCACTTAGCCTGACCGAGACATAGTGGCGGCAGGTAAACGACCATATTCTCTCGCGCTGTTGTTAGGATGTCGGGGCGCCTCGCTGTCGCATGTCCACCTGGTAAGCAATGGTGTACCCATCGCCCTTAAGGACGCTTCTAGAAAGCAACAGTTAATGGAAGAACTTACGGGGTCCGAGCGTGGGAACGGCCGCCGACGGTAGTCGACCGAAGGAAGCAGCACGGCCTGGTATGGGAGAGAGTGTCACGTGCGGAGGACCTTTTCCTTTGCGTGTTTCATTTTGGTAAGGAGGTTTTTACAAATATAGTGCCTTTTATGAAAGTGTTTCTGTGATTGGTTGAGATGCTGCGAGTCCGAACATGTGATTGGTTTTTGTGAAGACTCTTTGTTCGACCAAGGGTTAAAAAGAGGATGTTTGAACTTGAAAAGTGAGCAGAGCGGAGTCGGGGTCAACGGCGGATCTCACCACCGGAGACCAGCTATGCGGGCCGAGGGGTATGCCACCATTTTCTATGTTTTGTCTTTGTAACCCAGTGCATTTTGTAACTTGAAGTTGTGTTAGCTAAATAAACCCCCAATGAGTGCTCCCCGAATTCATCGTGTTGACGTCTCATCGATTGCCTCCGCGGAGTTTCAACCACACTTATTCGTCTCCCTGGTCGTCCGATGCGCCTAACTTGAACAACCCCGACGTTTCGCTACAAAGTGGTGGAGGTTGCTCGGTAACGATAGTCCCGCTCCGAAATTATGCCCCGACTCAACAACAAATATAAGGAACCTACCTCTGACAGCTCCACTATGACGGAACCCCATACCTTCTTCTCTGCTATGTCTACCCCCCAAGCTAAACCATTCATCGGACCACCAGTCTTTAGAGGTGCGCCGGAGGAATCTATTTCCGAGTGGCTACTTTGCTACGAACATGTAGCATCACTTAATAATTGGGACCAAGCCACGAAAGTGAAATTTCTATATCTGGCCTTAGACGGAGATACGAAAAAGTGGCACAATACTCAAATTCTAACCGGTGCCCCTAATACATGGGAAGAATGGGCGACGCTACTAAAAACGTCCTTTACGAGTCGCCACTCAGTCGAGATCGCCTATTTGCGGCTACAAAACCGCACTCAATTGCCGTCCGAAACCCCCGAGCAGTACTACTATGACGTAGTACAGCTGTGTGCAAGAGTGAACCCGTCTATGACGGAAGATGATCGGTTGCGGCACCTTATACGCGGGTTACGTCCGGATGTTCAGGAGAAAATGATAATCGCAAACCCGGAGAGCTGCACTGCATTCCTCCAAATTTTGCAACGCATAAATCTGGCAGCTTTGATGAGCCGTGTGTCGGGGCTACAACCAATTGGCATCCAGTATTCCACCGGATCGCAGTCGTGGATGCAAAACATCGCGCATCCCGTAGGGTTCGCACCCGCCGCAGCGACAGGGCACCCTCCTCCTACGTGTGTCGCCACTTGCGCCGCGGCCGAATTGCGTTGCCCGCGGGAGGTTGCCGACCGCGAGAGACACCTGAAAACGATTGCGGACTCGGTTGCCCTGCTGTCTGACCGGCTAAAAAGCATCGAAGACGAGGTGCGTCGCCCCCCAATGCCTTGGCCTCAGAGAACTTGCCGTGCCAACGACGGGCGTCCCCGATGCCAGATTTGCAGCCGCATAGGTCACATAGCACAACAGTGCTGGCAGCGGTTCCGAGATGGCAGGAACGATCAGGCGGAGCTCCAAGGCAATCAGAATGTGCAGCCTAATCCTTCGGGAAACGAGAACGGCCGGGCCTAGGGGGCCAGCCCGGCCGCCCCATCGGCACATTGTCGGAAGGTCAGCTTCTCACAGTCCCTACACGAGCCAACGGTACAGAAACGTTGCAACACCGCCCTGGCCTCAAGAATAGAAATGCCGACACGCTTTCCCGCCTTCCTCATGATCCCGTGCCTATAAGCGAAGAAAACCCCTTACCGTTGCTGGTTCTGGATCAGGTGGATGTTGGAAAAAAGCAGAGGGCAGACCCATGGATGAAAGAAATTATGCAGCACCTCGAGCACCCGGATGCGCCCGTTGTCAGGAAAACTAAGAGAACGGCACGGAGCTTTCGGTTGATCGACGGTGTACTGTATCGAAGGGCGAAAGGGTTTCAGGAGGATCGTGCTGCGCTCGTTGTCCCCAAGTGCTTGAGATCTGAGATTTTAAGGTACTGCCATGACGCCACCACGGCAGGCCACTTAGGTGTCAAGCGCACATGGGAGAAAGTTCGTTGCCGATATTTCTGGCCGAAGATGTTCTCGTACGTAAGCAAGTACGTTCTCTCCTGCCCCGACTGCCAGACACGAAAGCAACCACCGGGGAGGCCGGTCGGTTTCCTCCAACCGATCCCACCTGCAGGTCGACCTTTTCAGCAGGTGGGCATGGACTTCATTGGGCCTTTCACTAAATCCAAAGCAGGGAACCGCTACATCGTCGTGATTACCGACTACCATACGAAATGGGTCGAGGCTGTCGCGTGTCCAGCGGCCACTGCCGCAGAAGCAGCCAGAGCTTTCGTCGAACAAATCGTCCTACGTCATGGTGCCCCGGAGAAAGTAATAAGCGATCGTGGGCAGCACTTTGTCGCCAACTTGACCGAAGAAGTATTCCGGCTCGTGGGTAGCGAGCATGCCACCACAACAGCATACCACCCACAGGCCAACGGCTTGTGCGAGCGTTTTAACCGCACGTTGGCTGACATGCTCAGCATGTATGTTTCCTCACACCACCGCGACTGGGATGAATTCCTACCGTACGTTCTATTTGCATACAATTCTTCCACCCACGAGACGACTGGATTCACTCCCTTCTTTCTTTTTCACGGACATGAACCGACACTACCGGTGGACGTAGGGTCGGGCGCGCAACGCGGATTCGACTACACCCTGGATGCAATGAAAGTGGCCCGCAGGCTGCGGCAGGCTCGAAAAATAGTAAATGAACGGGAGAAGCGTCAGCAGGAGAAGAACAAGCGCAGCTATGATGCTAGGCGACGAAGTGTTGTTTATCATCAGGGCGACTTGGTGTACTTGTGGACTCCCTCCCGGGCGAAAGGGAAGACGACAAAGCTTCTTCACAAATATCACGGACCTTTCCGTCTTGTGCGCCAGGTAGCCGAGAACAACTGGGAGGTGGTAGACCAAACTGGAAAAAAACGTGACGTTGTGAATGTGGCGCGTTTAAAGCCCTGCCACGTTCGATTGGGCTCCGATGCCAACGACGCGGACGATGAGTCTGATGATAATCGCGAGGTGCGCGATCTCGGTGGTGTTGTGCGCGAGTGCAGTGCAAGGAGAGATGACCACGGATTGCATCGAAGTGTTGTGCGCGAGTGCAGTGCAAGGAGAGATGACCACGGATTGCATCAAAGTGTTGTGCGCGAGTGCGGCTCCAATGGTGATGTGCGCGAGTGCGGTTCGCGAGTGGGTCAGGAACTCCGTTTGCAACATTGTGCGCGCGGGACACAGACCAGTGTTCCAGTACAGCAGTGCGAAAGCTACGACACGGACACTGAACTTTACTCGGACTGGAAGACATTTTCAAGTAATAACAACGCACAACAGAATGTCAGTGCTTACGAAACGGACACTGAATTGTATTGCAGTACCGATGAGTGAACCCATATATTTCTGTGTCCAATGATTTTGTTTTGTTTTTCATCTGTTGTTTTATGTAATTTTTTAAAAACATCTCACACACTTGTTGAATGCAAAACCTTTTTGTATAATTAGTCTATTTATTGTCGTGTTTTGCAGATAAAACGAGTGGGGCACTCTTTTTCGTAGGGGGGAGGTGTCGCGAGAGCAAGGTTTCCAGCTCCAGTATCTCCTCAGGAAATTTGTGCAAAACCAACTCCTCTGCTTCTTTTTTAAGTCTTTCTTTGTACTCTTCTAGCTTTGGGTTTGTTTCTCTGGCCATTACAGAGCTTTGGCTTTTGACTTTAATGGAATGTGGGATAAATCGTGTTTTCCAGCCTGGGACAGGCGCCTACACGCTGCATTTACGGCTTACCAACGGAGCAGTCAAGGCCGCCCCGTTCGGGATTAGAAGGGGAAAGCTTACTAGGAAAAGCGTCTAGCGAGAGGCAGGTCCGGCGCCACCGTCTGAGTCTAAGCCATTGTTAACAGGCACGCGTGTCATTGAGAATGACATGGGAACGCGACCACTTAGCCTGACCGAGACATAGTGGCGGCAGGTAAACGACCATATTCTCTCGCGCTGTTGTTAGGATGTCGGGGCGCCTCGCTGTCGCATGTCCACCTGGTAAGCAATGGTGTACCCATCGCCCTTAAGGACGCTTCTAGAAAGCAACAGTTAATGGAAGAACTTACGGGGTCCGAGCGTGGGAACGGCCGCCGACGGTAGTCGACCGAAGGAAGCAGCACGGCCTGGTATGGGAGAGAGTGTCACGTGCGGAGGACCTTTCCCTTTGCGTGTTTCATTTTGGTAAGGAGGTTTTTACAAATGTAGTGCCTTTTATGAAAGTGTTTCTGTGATTGGTTGAGATGCTGCGAGTCCGAACATGTGATTGGTTTTTGTGAAGACTCTTTGTTCGACCAAGGGTTAAAAAGAGGATGTTTGAACTTGAAAAGTGAGCAGAGCGGAGTCGGGGTCAACGGCGGATCTCACCACCGGAGACCAGCTATGCGGGCCGAGGGGTATGCCACCATTTTCTATGTTTTGTCTTTGTAACCCAGTGCATTTTGTAACTTGAAGTTGTGTTAGCTAAATAAACCCCCATTGAGGGCTCCCCGAATTCATCGTGTTGACGTCTCATCGATTGCCTCCGCGGAGTTTCAACCACACTTATTCGTCTCCCTGGTCGTCCGATGCGCCTAACTTGAACAACCCCGACGTTTCGCTACAACGTGGCCCACATATGAGCGGAACAAAACAGTGTGGCCGAAGCTGCGTGGTTCGCCATTGAAACTCACCTGCTTCCTGGGACGGCTTCCAGTGCGGGGACAACTTCAGCTCAAGGTTTCGTGCGGAAACAAGTCGACGGCTGGATCTTTGCAAGTCCTTGGTTGCTCCGGCCCAAACCTCTACGGACGCGACCTGATTCAAGCGTTCCACATGCTCGAGGCACCGGTAATGAACGTGAACACGTCAGGTGAGCAACTGCCGTTACTCGGTGCTGACGACGTTAACGTGGACCGGTTGCTAGCAGAATTCGCTGATGTGTTCGCGCCAGGTTTAGGGCTCATAAAAGGGCCACCGGTACACTTCGAGACGCGAGGAAAACGTGGTGCCGAAGTTTTGGAAAGCACGCGAAGTTCCGTATGCTTTTCGGCCAAAGGTCGACGCGGAACTGGACCGCCTTTCGGGCGCGGGTATTATTGTACCGGTGCCTCATGCGGAGTGGGCGGCGCCAGTGGTACCGGTAGTGAAACGGAATGGCTGCATCCGCCTTTGCGGCGATTTTAAGCTAACGGTCAACAAAGCCTGTCGCACTGAGCAATATCCGTTGCCACGGGGGGAGGATATCCTGGCTACATTAAATGGCGGTGAAGTTTTTACCACGATAGACTTGCGGGAGGCATACAACCAGCTTCCGTTGGATGAGGAAGCCATGCACCTCACGACCATAAACACGCATAAGGGACTGTTCAGCTTTACTCGCCTGCCTTTTGGAGTGGCGTCCGCGCCGGCCGTGTTCCAACGGCGTATGGAGACCATTTTGCAGGGACTTCCGGGTGTTCAGGTCTACCTAGACGACGTCATCGTGGCAGAGAAACGCAATGACTGCACCACCCTGCACGATGTATTCAAGCGTTTCCGGGAATACGGCGTGCGCCTGAACGCAGACAAGTGCAAGTTCCGCCAACTAGAGGTGGATTTTTTGGGGCATCGAATCAGCGCTCGAGGTCTTCAACCAAAGACGGAAAACATAGACGCCATCCTTAAGGTTCAGGCACCACGGAATTCCGCAGAATTAAGGTCCTACCTCGGCATGGTAACGTACTACCACAAGTTTCTTCCCAATGCATCGACCGCCATGGCACCCCTATATCAACTACTCCGGAAGGAAGCTAAGTGGAAGTGGGATACCGCTCAACAGCAGTCATTCAGCAGTGTGAAAGACCTTCTGAAATCCGCAGACTTTCTGGCGCATTTTGACCCACACAAGCCGCTAGTCCTGGAATGCGATGCCTCCCCGGACGGAATAGGCGCAGTGCTTTCACACGATGTCGGGGGCGGAGTACTTCGGCCCATAGGGTTCCGCTCTCGGTTATTGACTGGAGCTGAGAAAAATTACTCGCAGCTGGAGCGTGAAGCCTTGGCACTTGTGTTTGGTGCGTCGAAATTCCGACAATACTTGCTCGGCAATACTTTCACATTGATGACGGACCATAAGCCGCTTGTTGCACTTTTTCACCCAGACAGGCCAGTGCCCGTGATGGCCGCTGCGCGAATCCAGCGGTGGGCCCTGCTGCTGAGCGCCTACGATTACGTCATCAAACACCAGCCCGGGAAAGACAACATTCCAGCCGATGCCCTCAGCCGACTCCCCACGTCAGCAACTTCCCAGCCAGAGACGCAGGAAGAAACTGTGGACGGTGAGTATGTCCTGCTCACGGAGACCCTCAATGATGGTGTCATGTCTGCGAAGCAACTGGGCACTCTCACGGAGCTTGATGACGATTTAGCAAAGGTGCAAAAATGGGTGCAGGAGGGATGGCCAAGAAATTTGGGGCCTAAGGACCAGCACTTGATGCCATACTTCAACCGGAAAGCTGAGATAACGGGGAGTTATGGGCTTCTATACTGGGGCCATCGAGTGATCGTCCCTAAGAGTGCCCGAGCAGTGATGTTACGTCTGCTGCATGATACTCATCAAGGGATTTGCTCAATGAAGCGGCTAGGGCGCTCCTTGATGTGGTACCCCCGGATCGATAATGACATTGAGCACATGGTTAAGTCCTGCACCAGTTGCATCCAAGCTGCCCCTATGCCCCCAAAGAAACCCCCTGTTGCGTGGCCAGAAACGGATGAGCGTTGGTCGAGGCTGCATATCGATTTTGCGGGGCCGATCGATGGTCACATGCTACTGATTGTGGTGGATTCACATAGTAAGTGGATAGAAGCGATACCCATGAAGAGTTCCACCACACACGCCACCATAGAGGCTCTGCGCACCTTGTTCAGTACATTCGGGTTGCCCCGGACGCTGGTATCCGATAATGGCCCACAGTTTACGAGTTGGGAATTTAACACCTTCACGAAGCTGAATAACATAGTACACCTCCGAACAGCACCGTATCACCCCCAGTCCAATGGGCTCGCGGAGCGGGCGGTTCGTACGGTGAAGTATTCATTGAAGAAGAATGTACAAGGGTCACTGAAAACCCGCCTGGCTAGGATTTTGCACAGGTACCGCAGGACGCCGCAGGCCGGGGGCCGGACACCAGCGCAACTCCTAATGGGCTACGATCTTCGCTCCAGGCTGGACAACGCAGTGTCCATTCCGCCCTCACCAGTTGACCGTCCCCCCCTCGATGGGTGGCAGCCCGGGGAGCCAGTCTGGGTGAGGAACTTCGGGCGAGGCGAGCCGTGGACTCCAGCCAGCATTACATCGACAGACGGAGCCCGCCTGGTGAATGCCGATGGTCCGGAGGGGGAAACCATTAGGCGCCACAGCGACCAGGTGAAGCCACGGGAGTTGGAGCATGACCAGGGAGAAGTCGGTGACTCTCGGTGCCTCGAAACTGCCGGCGGGGCCCTAGCAGGAGGAACACCGAGGCGAGCGCCAACAAGGAGCGAGATCGCCGGGAGCCCCTCAACTCCGGTGTTGCGTCGCTCGGGCCGGCAACGCAAACCCCCAGACCGTTACTCACCGTAGGGGGAGCGGAATGATGTATCCGTGACGTCACGCCAGCCGAAGCCGCCGTTATCCCCACTGCTTCTTCTCCTTCCCTTCCCCTTAACCTCTCTCGCACAACGCTACATTAACCCGCGCTATCGCAATAAAGCTTTTGTCTTGGCCCAGCCACGGCCCTGGCGTGTTCGTTTCAGTCTATAAGTCCTTCAATTAGCAGAAGTGGTCTCTTATAATGTGTTTTACTTTTCTAAGTGTGTCAGGCGTATAGTCTTCTATGCAGCCCCCTAGAATAGGGTTAATTGAAGGACTCATTGAAGAAGAGATACAAGCTAGTTTTCTCTGTACCAGCACCAAATAGCACATCGGCACTACTGCCGCGTGCTCCACATAGCACCACTCAAAAATTTTATTCAGAAACGCCATGATGAAAAATAGCAATGGGCAAAGTGCATGGTTTAACCTAACACTCTCAAGACTAGAGGTTTTAGTTACACCGGACGCACAGACAATGGCATAGAGGCTCTTACTTGCCGTCTTCCCACTCGCCATTATCAAGAGTTGCAACATGCAACATCTGTGCACCGGGCCCCAGTGCATAAATCGGGTTTTGAGCAAAAATATGTCGCTTCTTTTAATAAAAATATGCTGGAGGGAAAATGCCTGGTGATCGTATGCTTGGTAGTCTGTAGAAATTCCTGTAACTGCGTTGATACGGCTTATTGTACACCATTCTATAGAAGCGGCAGCGGGGCTTAACACTCATGAACCATGGAAAAGCGCAGAGAACAAGTACTCCCACGAGCAAACTTAGTTTTGAAAATGTTGGAGCGATTTCTTTTTTCTCGGAGTATCTTTTCTAGAAGTCATGCGCGGCGAATAAATATTTGTAGTACTTTAACCCAAATATATGCGACTAACAACCACCTCATACCTCGGCTATATAATGAAAATATACTAGAATTGCAAGACTTTCGAAAAAAAAAAGCTATCGCATACAATGCACGCCTTTTTATAGTAGATGCACGTTACGTACGTCAAAGCGACCACTACCAATTCCCTCTTGGAGTGAAACTGTACGTGCTTATGTGCGTGTGTCTGTAAAAGATGTTAAGATCGGCCTCCCTGGCTGGGCGCCGCTTGGACACGGGGGACGATTGCAGCTAAGCCTACCCTGATTTGTTCCGGATCAACGCTCTCGAGGTGCGCCAAACGCGGCGACAACACGAAAGTCATGCTTCGAATTCTTTAGGGCTGTTGGCTACCCTCGTCAAAAACTGTTTGGACACACCTGACTGACTGACGGCCTAGGAAAAGCTGTTTGAAATCGAGGCTGCTTGATTTGTTCGACATACCACGAGACGCGCTGAACAATTAGCCGAGAGCTTGGGATCCCTCGTCAGGTATGTTTCCCACACTCTGTGGTGCTTGCAAGTCTTCCATTCTCACAAGCCCTAGCCTGCCTAGCGCTGCAGACCCTATTCTGTGCATGCGATGCAATGTTATTGCACTGTGATGTGTTGTGCGTATTATTGCTCTGCGACCTACGTTATGTTTCTCTCTCGTCGTGTGACGAATTGAACGTGCACCTTCTCTCTTTCCTGGGTTGAAAAAAAGGCAGTGTTTGACTTTCTCGCTCTTTCTCCCTCTCTCGATTTTTAACCCTTATTCTCTGCGCCCTACGCTCCCTGATGGGCTGCAGAAATTAGGCTCCTTCTTTTAACCACTACCCTCCCCACCCCCCATTTGGCGGACAGAGATGAAGACGACAATTTCTTCGGACTGCCCTGAACTGAATTAACATGCAGTCTGTCAGTTTACAGTGATCTGCAAGGCGGCTTTTCTGTAAGGTTTGTTTTCCAACCAAAAACTCTCGTTCACAGACTGCTTTTATTTCTCATTTTGAGCACGCGAGTACAACAAAATGTCACCTCTCCAAATTCCAGCGAAGGCACGCGAGCACAAAAAGATCTCAAAAAAAAAAAAGGAATGGCAAAAACGAAATGAGTCAGAAAAAGCAGCCTGTAAACGAGAGTTTTTGGTTGAAAAACTAACCTTACAGAAAAGCTGCCTAGCAGATTATTGCAAACCGTCTATTGTTTTCTCCTGCAGAGAATTTTTTGGAGGACCAGAGCGTAAAGCGCGAGCACCGAGATGCTCTGAACCAGCTCTCAGAAGCTCCCATGATGCTACCCTCAACGTATATATTATATTCATATGGATGTAAAACGGCATCATTATCAGTCCAAGATAGCAGCCTATGATAGTGCCCGAAACAAGGCGTATACACAGAAGAAATGAAGTGGTAGCAGTGCAGCACGAATGCAGCGCGTTAGGTGAAGAACTACACAATATTACATTTATTTTTTGTCAATTTGCCCAATATGCCATTTCATGCAGCGGCCGCTGAACTTGTGCCGCTGTTCATAGTGGTACTCTCGGTCTCTGAAGCTGGAGGAAGATAACTAAGAAGCCTGTTTTTTACTGGCTACATAAACGTGAAACGAAGCTATAAATCAAGAAGAAAAAGAAAAAGACAAGTCTGTGAAAAGTCAGTACTGGCGCATAAATGGCGCGCCGATTGCGCTGATGAAAAACGTCGGCGGTGGCGGGGGCGGCGCGCCGATCAGTTCGCGTCGGCGGCGGCGGCGAAAACTCTCGGCGGCGGCGCGCCGACCAGTCGGTGCACACCTCTACTTTTTCCTACACCTTGCATCAAATTGAAACTTTGAGAAAAAAAATTAAAATTGAAGCTTCATTTTTTTTTGTACACAAACTTTATTGCAAACGGTTCTTGTGACTAGTAGAAGTGAAACCTCGACATATTTAACCATCAGAGTGTGCATTACTCTGTAGTTGCATTCCAGATTTGGCATCAAAATGTAATGAATTATTCTTTACAACATTTGAAAACAAACATTCTTGGTTTGCCCTCGAAAGTACGCAATATCTATTTATGAAAATAATAGCACAGTATTAAGTGAGGAACACTGAACGTTTTGTCTGCTGCGATGCCAGGTGCGTCGTTCAAGTGGTCTGCTCCCAACGCACCTCTCGTTTTGTTGTGAAATCGAGTCAGAAGAGCGTGGTGGCAGTGCGTCTACTTCGCGTCACACTCGTTTTTCAGTTGATTTCAACGAGTTTTGGCAAGACGCACTAACATTAAACGTGATCTCGGTGTAATATCTTGCACAGGCATGGGACGCTACATCTATGCGCAGCGGTGAGTAGACGACGCTTCGCTTAAACTATCAAACACGACTTATGCAGCTCCAGCGTTGCAGTAAATTGAGAAGCCTAGCAGTTTTTATCTTCTTTGAACAATAAAGGCGCAGCTTAAGTCCTTTGCACCCATCCCACTACACACTCTACGCGAAGAACAAAACTGAAGTTGCAGGAAAAGATTCGTAGACAGTTCACTGGCTAACGCGATCCAATCCGAAGCCTGTACTTCTCGTAACTTCCATGAGGGCACGGAGGAAAGAAAAGGTAAGGAGAGGCCCCGACGTCACTCGTTGTGAAGCCGCGATGAAGCCGGAAGTCGGCCATATTGAGTAGGCAAATTCTCCTCTCTTGTTTACATACGAATGCGAAGCAGAAGGCGCGACTCCCCCTCTGTCTCAAAAAGCACGTGGCCTGCGCGCCGCGTGCGCCGGTGCTATCCGAAACCAACGGAACGGATTTCAACACGCTGTCTTGCCGCGATACGTTCGACAAAATCTCTGCGTATGGCTGTTGTACTCTTGCACTGCCGGCTTTTACGATAAACACGGCAAGTTGCACGTTAAGCTTTTTTTTTATTTGATGTGTTCTTTGTGAAAATAAAGATGATATTTCGGGCATTGCCGCGCGACGAACCAGGCACCGAAATTTGTACAGCTTCTTTCAGATCACTTTCCAGTGTGATTCACACGCACTAGTAGCTACGGAGAACGGAAACCAGGATCGCGTTAGGGCGAAAGGTGGGAAGTTAGCCGAAGGAATGCGTGAGAAAAGGTCTGCGGGAAGCTTCAGGCGTCGACACAGCCGTCAAGGACTGCAGGGAAAGCCAGCCAAATGCGAGGGAAGATAACTCCGGGATAAGTGGATAGTCATTAGAGGAAAATAAAGAGAAGGCGCTCGTTTCTGTCTTCCTTATCTGGAACACAGCTCAGCGCCAACCGCCAAGGATGGCGGGTACGGCCATCCGGCGGAAGGCGATGGAAAAGGAGTTCGGGATAATCGGTTGTATGAAAGAGAGGCGTTTGTTTCTGTTTCCATTATCGGGGAGGCGGCTAAGCGCCTTGCGTGGTGTGTAAGGGGTGATTCACGCGCAAACAGACCCTTCAAGGATGCCCGCCCGGTCCCAAAAGCGCCCGTAAGGACACACAGCATTCCTCCTTTCTCCACGAAAGCAAGATATGATTGCGTATACCACACTGGAGGATTTCGAGTAGTATTAGCGGCACGTCTTGCTGCGTTCGTACTGTCCCTCAAAGCTCCACTGCACACTTCGCTGTGTGCGCGGTCACAGCCACAATGCCCAGCTGTTGTGTGCCAGAATGCAAGTCACGCGGGTCGCAAGAAGTACCAGCCACCTCCTACCACTTGTAAGTAAATTTACTTATTCGGTGCATGCGGTAGAGTAGACGCCAAAATGTAATGTATATGATGCGCATAGTGGCAATTCTTCTGTACATTTATAAATTAACATGTTAGTTACGCTGCGTGTATACTGTGCAACACATATGCAATCATTCATCATCAGGTTTCCCAAAGACGCCGTTCGTCGGACAAAGTGAATAGAAGCAATTTGGCCACCGCATATTCGCCGGGAACCTGCAAGGAAGGCTCATGTTTGTTCGAAGCATTTCTTAGAGGAGCATTTTGATCGCACGTCCGCGTTCAAAGTCCGCCTACGAGAGCATGCAGTTCATACTCTTTTGGTGAGAACGAATGAACTTTGGAACCAATTTCCCTTATCTTCGATCAAATTTTTGATTTATGCTCTTCTCTTTCTGGTATATGCTTTTGATACATGTATG